AAGAGACAGGTAAGAGGGGCTACAGGGTGGGGAGCAGGGGCGAGGGGTGCCCAGCTCATGGCATCCAGGAGATGGAGGCCCATCGCTGCAGGCCAGCTGCCAGGCTCTGGGGTGCAGCGGGGACCCCCATGGTCTGCCCCCCACCCCGGGCACACATCACCTGCTGGGCTTCAGGGCAGGCAGGGGCAGGCAGGCCCTGCCTTCGCAAGGGATTGTCACAGCATCCCCGTGCCACTGCTCGCTTCCGCATTCCTGCGGCCGCGCACACCCTCCCTCCTTCCCCGGCCCGCGTCCTGTTTGCCGGGCGCGTCACCCCGGCCTGAGTCACCCCACGGCCTCTGCAGGTGACGGAAGGCCAACAATAGCCCACAAAGGGAGGATGTCCCCCCAAAGCCTTCCTCCGGCCCGTCTTCGAGGAAACCTCCCGCGGGAGGGAAGGGCCCCACCGGACACGCCGATGAGCTTCGTCCTGTTGACACTGGCTTGCTCGGAGCGGCACGCGGCCCTGGGGGTCCCCAGGGAGAGCCGCTGCCACCCTCTCCATGCTGGGCGAGGAGGAGGAGGAGGAATGTGCAGGCACAGGGCTCACGCTGAGGCTGTAGCCATGGGGAAAGGCCAGGCCAGCCTCAGCCCCATCTCTTGGATGTGGTGTGGGGGGGGTGACATCAGGGATGGCATTGCAGGGTCGAGCTCAGAGATTGGGAATAAGGGGGTGGGGGAACACCCCTGTCACCACGGGGACCTTGTGGTACAGGGTGTGCAGCTGTGTGGTGAGGGGTGGCCGGCAGGCAGGGTGGTGGAGGACAGGGGGTTGTGCACTGCCGTGGGCACAGCCCCCACCCTGGCACTGGGCAGGGACCAGGCAGGGAGGATGGAAGCACCATTAGCCCGTTTCACTAATTAGCAGGATGGCAGCAAACCGCTGCCTGACCGTCACCACAGCAACCGTGTCACACATCCTTGAGAAACTTTTGTTGCCATAACAATTACAGGCAGCTTTGGCATCACCCTGTGTGTATTCCCCAGTCCCCATCCACGTCCTGCCCGTGCTGGGGCTACTGGGGACCCCCTAGCACCTCCCTCCTGGGCTCCTCTGAGCGAGGACCGGAGGGTGATGCCAGGCACAGGCAGCCTGAGAGCATCTGTGACATGAGTGTGCCAGGTCTCAGCCTGCCGGCAGACAGAGACAGAATGGTGACAGAACCACCAGGCTCTGTTGCTGCTGGTCCCCGCATTGCGCTGGAGCTGCGGCAGGACCGGGTGGGTGGGCAGGGGACAGAGGGACAGGAGCCAGGGACAGGAGGACAGGACAGAAGGACGGGGGTGACAGGGGTCTGTGCGGCTCCACAGCGCAGTCCTGGTGCCACCTCGTGGTGAGCAGGATCCCAGTGACAGCTGGACCGTCGCGGCGTGACACAACCAGACAGTCGCTGCGGTGACACAGCCGGACAGTCACCACATGGAACAGACAGACAGCCCCGGCAGCGGCACAGCCGGACACCCCCCTGGGCATGCTGCGCCCCAAGAGGGGCTGGCCCCTCACCGCAGCGGGGCTGGCCACCAGCCCCAGGAGGGTGCCAGGGCACAGCACCCTGAGCCCCGTGTCCCTGTCCCTGCCCACACCGTCCCTGTCCCTGGTGGCAACCACGTGCCCCAGCCCCTAGAGCCGGCTGACGGGCTCATGCCAGCAGAAGCAGGGCTGGAGCCTGGGGGATGAGGTTGGGACAAGGGAGTGGCCAAGGGGCCGTGGTGTGTGTCCTAGTGCTGTGGCAGCTGGTCCCACCTGCAGCCCATCACCCGGTGAGTTTCCCCCGTCCTTGCTGTCTTGGCACTGTGAACTTCTCCATGCTGGGAGACAAGACTGGTCACCCCAAATCCCATCATCCGGAGAGACAGCCTGTGCCAGTTCCCTAAGTGCTGCCATTTCCACTGCCCTGGGGCCGAGGGCAGATTTCCATGGCTGTTCAAGGACCTCAGAGGACACCACAGAGCTGCCGCCACAACAAATTTTTATTAAAAGTAAAAACTGGTTGTGCAGTGGGCCATGCAGTGCTGCTGGGAAGAGGCAGCATCTCCGAGCGGGTCCAAGGCTCCCACCTCTGTATCCAGCCTCGTGGCCATGCCGTGCAGGGGGAGCAGAGACCTCGTGTGAGCTGGTGCAAGGACCCACAGCCAGTGCTAGAGACGGTCCCAGGAGAGGGGTCTGGCCGGGCAGAGAGGCTGCTGAGGAGGAGGGCAGGTCCAGGGGCAACAGAAGGGTGTCAGGCACCCTGCAGGGCCCAGGAGCCAGCCGGGCAGGGCTTCCTCCCTACCCATCTCTCTGGGGGACACAGGGATTGATTTCTGCCCAGGTTTCCTGAAGGACCTCTTATATTCTCAAGGAGGGTTTTTTTGTAAACCATCTTGTTTGTTCATTTACTGTAGGACCTACCAGATCTCCTGCATCTTGCATCCTGCTGTGCAAGCCACCAGGCACAAAACCCTGCTGCAATGACAGCAAGGTCCTTCCACCCTTCTCCCAGGGTTTGCTCTCAGCACGCCTCCCATCCCTGCCCCACGCCTCACGCGGTCCCGTTTTACCCTCCTCCAAATGTGTGTGTGTGTGACACACAGCTGGCTGCACACTCAGACAGAGATCCAGGGCCATCCAACAGTCGCCAGGCTCTGACTGTGATGCTGTGCCCACCCTGGGGTGCAGAAGGTCCATGAGACATCCCAGCCGGTGGAAAAGGAACTTCATGGTCTGTGATGAGCCGGTCTCCAGAAGGGACTCCTCCAGGTACCCCTGTCCTGAGTGAGGATGTGCATCCTCCCCTGAAGATCCGTGTCTGACCAGAGGATAGACACCTCTGCTGCCTGCCAACAGCTCTGTCCTTCAGCCAGCCTTTCTCTTCAGTAAGAAGTCATTAAACCAGTAAGAGGAAATACATGTGCAATAAAAGTGATAGGCTTTGGGGTCAAGGCTCATTATGACTAACATAATGAGCTTTTTTAGCAAGGCAGATGCTGCAGCAGTCCGGAGCTCGCAGGCTTCGTGGGACAAAGGGCACATCCAGAGGGCTTTTCCTGCAGAATGGGTCCGAGCGCAGCCCCCAGAGGTGGCTGCTGGCCCCCAAGCCCTGGGCCCGGGCTGTGGGCAGGGGCTGGTACCTGGCCTGCACGGCTTAGCTCCGTCTGTTCACCACCATCACGCTCCCCTCCCACTGCTGCCAAACGTGTCTCTGATCACATAAGGCTGCTCAATGCCAAAATATTGCCGTTGTCTCCTTTGCCAGCATTTCCAACCCAGCCCACCAATGCACTCTGAATTTATTATTCCTGTTACTCCATTAGCAGGACCATGTGCTCTTTCTAGCGCTGAAGTTACCCCGTGCTTACTTTCAAGGCCTCACGTGCATTCCTTCTCCCCAGAAACCCGTACCCACATGCTAGAGGTTCAGCTCTGTCTCTCCAAAGCCCAGTTCCTTTTCTGTATAGTCACACCAGCTAAAAGCTGGGATGCTAGCACCACGAGTGCTGTGGCCTCATCCCTCCACACTCTGTTCAGACATCATCTCCATGTCCTGAGGGATCCATCCGCTCCCACAGGCAGGGTCTGGGCAGAGCAGGCAGGACCGGCAGCAGCATCCACCTCTGCTCCTTCTGCAGTTAACGGGGGACCTGTGACTGGATTTTTGGTGCCCCCAGCCATCTTTCCTCAGGCCAGGGAGACCCAACAAAACCTCTTCCCTCCCCAGAGCACTCGGGGTTTTCCCACACCACCACCTCTCATGCAGCCCAAAGCATCTGCAGGCACATGGGACCCACAGCCACGGTGCTGCCTGTGCTGTCCTTTGCTCCTCTCCCATCCCCTCCTTGTCCCGATTTGCCCTGGCACTGCCCACAGGCATCCCTGGGGAGCTCAGCACTCAGCAGGGGCTCTGATGAGGTCCTCGGTGCTGATGAGCTTTTCCCTGGAACAAAAAAACGGTCGGTGCGAGATTGTCGACCCCCATTACTAAAGTCGCAGTAGAACAACAGCCAGGTAAAATAAATTAGGGGTCCAGTTGTGGCCACGGGTTGCAAAATCGTGTGTTACCGACACACAGCCATCTGCAGGAGCCAAAGGCTGGGCTGGGGGTTTCATCGGTACTCTGGTTGCTTCCAGCCCTGCTCACTCAGTTAAGGCCCCAGGGGAGGAAGGGCATTTTTGCCTCCCTGTGACAGCTGTAATGTTTAGCAGCTGCTGTGGGGTGCGCCCAACCCCCATCACCAGTCTCAGCCAGGCCCAGCCTTGGGGGTGCCACTGAGTGCTGAGGTGGGGACCGCCACGGCGGGGACCAGGAAGATGCTCTGCCCCACTCCGTGTCCTGGAGAGGAGGGCTGGCTCGGGGAGACACCCCGCAGCACGGCCCCCCACCCCGGCACCCTCACCCCGAGGGCCCCGTGTCAGCTCTCCGTGGCTCCGGGGGATAGAGGTTTCCAGAGAGGCACAGGGGAGCAGAGCACCCTGCAGCCCCTTCTTGCCTGTTTTTAGCCCCGGGCAGCTGGGACGTGCCAGGCTGTGCTGGCACAGCCCCACCTCTGCTCCGGGAGGATCTTTGGACTTTGTGCTGATTTTGCTGTTTACTTCTATTTAGCAGCAGGATTCCCTTCCAATGCATAGGACAACAACCACCACTCCCGTTTCTATCCTTAGCTCTCTCATTCAGCATCCCTCAGCCCCTGGGGCAAAGGCACAAGAGGAAGGACCTGTCACCCAAGGCACTGAGGAAAGGTCCCCTCCACTCCCCATTCTGCTGGGCCCCCCCAAGCCATGCACCCCCCACGGTGGATCGCAGCCTGGGTGCTCCTGCTCCACGGTATGTCGGAGGGGCTGGGCTGGGAGGTGGGGTGGGCTCGCCAGGCGACGACACAACCTGGCACCCCCGGGAACCGGGCTGGTCCCAGCACGAGGATGTAGGGGTGTTGTGCAGCAGTCTGAACCACACATTTGGGTGAAGCAAGGGTGGGTTTCGCTTAGGCAGCCAGGGCTGCTCTGCTGCTGCAGCCCGCTGCCCTGGGCAGGAGGCTGGGCTGTGGAGAGGGGCTAATCCTGCCTGCCTGACCCCAGGGACAAGCTGGAGGTGATGATTAAGGACCATGCTAAGGGTGACCCATCCCCCCATTGCCCCATGGGCCCGAGCCTGGTGCCCTTGGCCTGAGATGAAGAACCATGTCCCTGCCTGCAGACTGCAGTGGCGCCAGTGGTGGTACCAGACACAGAGTGGCACCAGGGTGAGGCCAGGTCTGTCCGGGACACCACCCTGGCTGCCGACCAGGTCCTCCAGCAGCACCAGCATCAGGGATGCTCAGGGCTGGCTTCTGCGAACCCCCTGCCCAGTTCCTGGTCACGGTGGGCACTGGCTGCCTCTCGTGAAGATCCCACCACACCCCCAGGGCCCATCCCCAGGCATGCCTCGGGCACTGGCCATGCCCAGATTGCAAAAAGCCCCAAAGCTGGGCTGGCTCGGTGTTTGGGACCGGGGATGAGGGTCACAACTGCCTCAGTGCTGGCTCTGGGCTGGAGCAAGGGACCAGCCTGGCCCCTGGATGCAGCCTGAGGCTCCAGGGTGTCCCTGTGTCCCCAGGCTGTGCCGCAGACCGGCCACCACAGGCTGCCTCCGCCACGACTGACATCCGGGACTGCTCCATGGACCCACCGGTGAGCCCCGCCGTTCCTAGCACTCCCCGTTCCTGGGACACCCCGCATTGGGTCACCCCCTCCCCAGCCCCACCACTGTGGTTGGTGTCCCGTCCCCCTCTCCCAGCACATGTCCACTTGTGCCACCAGTACCTGCCCCCTACGGCTGTCAACACAACGGCACGGCTCGCCGCTCTGCGGGATATCATGCGAGCCCACAGAGTCTATGCTTACATCGTGCCCTCCACGGATGCCCACATGGTAAGGCAGCAGCCTGCCTGCACCCCCCCGGGGACCAGCTCCCTGGCCGGTGCCCATGGCCACCTCTCATGGCTCCATCCTTGGCTCCAGAGCGAGTACATCGCCGAGCGGGATTCCCGGCTGGGCTGGCTGACTGGCTTCACTGGCTCTGCGGGTGAGAGCATCCTCACCACCCTGGGGTCTCTGCTCAGGGGGCCAGCACCCAGCTGCCTGCTGGTCCTCATCCTTGTGGATCCTCAGGGCAGGGCATGGTCCTGCTCCACACAGGAGGTCGGGCTGGGGATCCCTGGGGGTCCCCGCTGACTCCCTGGAGAGGGGGAAGAGGTGACCTCTGAGCCCTCACTCCTGTTCCAGGCACCAGTGTGGTGACACAGGACAAGGCTGCCCTATGGACTGACAGCCGTTACTGGACCCAGGCAGAGCGGCAGCTGGACTGCAACTGGGAGCTGCAGAGGACAAGTCAGTGGGGGGCAGGCTGGGGGACTGCTGCCTCCCCCTGCCCCCAGGACCCTCCCAACCCCAGCCACGGCCTCATCTGGGCTCAACATGGGCCCGGAGGTGGTTTGCCCTCATAGTGCCACCCAGGTCTCTCCTGCAGCCTGGATTGAATCCATTGGGCTGTGGATCCTGAAGGCGGTTCCTGTCGGGGGAAACATCAGCTTGGACCCCTTCCTCTTCTCCATTGGTAGGGTCAGCCGTCAGATGGGGTGACCCTGTCTGACGTGAGGGCAGTTCCCCAGTGTGGATTTACTGGGTGCCCCCAACTGTGGGCTGCTTCCCCTCCCTCAGACACATGGAACAGCTACAGCCAGGCTCTTCACGGCTCTGGCAGGACCCTGCTCCCCATCGAGAATAACCTTGTGGATCAAGTGTGGGGTGACCAGAGACCCCCTCCAGCCTCCAGTGAGATCTACACCCTCCCAGCAGCATTCACAGGTACGACCGCCATCCTCCCCAAGGCTGCTGGGAGCTGTGGTGGTCTCTGAGCTGAGCAGACCATTTGCCCCCCTCCCAGGGAGCAGCTGGCAGGAGAAGGTGGCTGGGATCCGGCAGCAGATGGAGCAGCACGTTCGACGCCCCACGGCTGTGCTGCTGTCAGGGCTGGAGGAGACGGCCTGTGAGTAGTCGCGGTGCCGTGGTGGGTGCTGTGGCGGTGGGTGTCATGGGCTCTGAGACCTGGGGGTGGGAGGGCAGTTGAGAGGCACAGGCTTGGTCTCGTTCCGGCAGGGCTCTTCAATCTCCGTGGACATGACATCCCCTACAATCCTGTCTTCTACTCCTACACCCTGCTGACCAACACCAGCATAAGGTGGGCAGCATCTCTCTGTTGGCAAGGGGCACGGACAGGGCTCAGCACCCACCCTCCTTCCTTTCCAGGGCCAGCACCCACAGCACCCTCCCCTGGCCCAGCTTCCCCCCCCCTTCCCCGAGCCCATCACAACCTGCAGTGCGCAGCCCCATTGTGAGCCCCCTCCAAGCCCCACATTTTCCCCAGGTCCAGCCCCTTCCCATCCAGCCCACACTGGGGTGCAGCACCCTCTGAATCCTGGGGAGTGCAGCCCAAGGCCAAATCCTGTTCACAGCCCAACATCCCCTCTGAGCCCCCCAGCCCCCTCCTCTCTGCCAGCATGCCCCACATGGCCAGGCTCGGGGAGGACAGCCACTTTGGGCTGTGCCCACCCCATCCTGCATCCTTCCCCAGCCTGTTCGTGGACGAGCTGCGGCTGTCAGCGGCGGCACGTCAGTCCCTGCGGGCTGGCTGCCCCGGGCCGCTGTGCGTGGAGCTGCAGGAGTACGGGCAGACACGTACCTACCTCCACCGCTACGCCCAGGGCAACGTCACCATCTGGCTGGGCACCAAGTACACCACCTATGGCCTCTATGGGGTCATCCCCCAGGTGCGGCACTACTGCTGACCACGATGCTGAGTCCGGCCGTGGGTGACGTGTGTCCTGCTGGGCTTGGGGACCACGGGATGTGCCATCCCTGGGGCACAAGGGGGTGGCTGGCTGTGCCACCTCCAGCCTGCCCTTGCAGGAGAAGCGGCTGGAGGACAGCTACTCCCCTGTCATGCTGGCCAAGGCTGTGAAAAACCCCAAGGAGCAGGAGCTGCTGCGAGCTGCTCACGTAAGGGCTTTCACTGTCCCCGCAGCCCTGAGAAGAAGTAGGGAGCAGCTGAGGGAAGGGAGGTGCTGACATCTCCCCTCCCCTGATGCCGCTGGGCCACCCCCAGGTTCGGGACGCGGTGGCTGTCATCCAGTACCTGCTGTGGCTGGAGAAGATGGTCCCTCAGGGGCAGGTGGACGAGTTTTTGGGAGCACAGCACATCGACACACTCCGCCAGTCAGTGCTGTCACCACATCCCCACACACACCCAGTGTAGGACAGCTGGAGACCCCCAGCATCTCCTTCTCTGCTGCCTTCCAGGGCCCAGGAGCACAACCGCGGGCCCAGCTTCCAGTCCATCTCCGCTAGTGGGCTCAACGCGGCACTGGCTCACTATAGGTACGGCTCAGCCCTAGCCAAGCCAGCAGCGGTGGTGGGGAGGAGCAGCTGGAGGCTGGTTGGGCCCTGACCACCCCCCTCCCCTCACAGCCCCTCCAACGGGAGCAGCCGGAAGCTGTCTGTGGACGAGATGTACCTTCTGGACACCGGAGGGCAATATCTGTGCGTAGCCCTTAATGCAGATCCTCCCCCCAGCACTGCACAGCCCCTCATCCCCTCCCCATGGCCCAAAGCCAGTGCTGGGGCTGCACTGCCCCTGTTCATGTTCCCCCTTTGCAGGGACGGGACAACAGACATCACACGGACTGTGCACTGGGGTGTGCCAACCCCGTTCCAGAAGGTACCAGCCCCTCCCATGCCAGCCAACACCCCCCTGCCATGCCCAGCACCCCGCTGCAGCATTCAGCACCGAGGTCCCAGCCAGGGATGGATGTGCTGGGGGGGGGCTGTCTGGACATCATCACTCCTAGCCCTCTGCCATGCCCCTCATAGGAAGCCTACACGCGTGTGCTGATGGGCAACATTGACCTGTCCCGCCTTGTCTTCCCACCCAACACGGCAGGTGGGTGCTGAGCCTGAGGAGGAGGAAGAGGAGGGAGGGGGGGCCTTATTGACTCACTGGCCCCCATCCCACCTCATCATTCTCCAGGGAGAACGGTGGAATCTTTTGCCCGTCGGGCACTCTGGGACGTGGGACTCAACTACGGCCACGGGACCGGCCACGGCATCGGCAACTTCCTCTCAGTCCACGAGTGTAGGTGCTGCGGTACCGGCAGCAGCGCTGGGGACACAGGCTGAGCTGCAGGGGACGGGGTCAAGGACAGGGGCTCATCTGGGGCTTGTCATAGCCCAGCTGAGCCTCTTGCTGTGGGCAGGTGTCCCCTACCTGCAGAGTGCTGCAGTCCTTGCCAGGGTGACCCTGCAGTCCTTACTGGTTTGGCCCCATGGTCCTTAACAGGGTGGCTCCATAGTCCTTAGCAGGGTGGCCCTGTGGTCCTTGCTGGGGTGGCCCCACAGTCCTTGCCGAGGTGGTCCCATGGTCCTTGCTGGGATGATCCAGTGGTCCTTGCTGTGGTGGCCCCACAGTCCATGCTGTGGTGGCCACATGGTTCTCACCAGTGTGACACCGTGGCCCTTGTCAGGGTGTCCCTGCAGCACATGCCGTCCCCAGGAGCTGTAACCCACCCCATGTCCCCTGCAGGGCCCGTGGGCTTCCAGTCCAACAATGTGCCACTGGCAGCCGGCATGTTCACCTCCATCGGTACGCATGCCCACCCCCCCAGCCGGTGCCTTGGGCTCTCAGGGATGTCCCTGAGCTGCAGAGCCCAGCCAGGGCAGGAGGCGTCCAGCTCTTGGACCAACTCAGGGGCAAGATCTGGCCTCTCTGGGGTGGCGTGGGGAGTTTCTGGGGCTTGGGACTCACAAGGCTCCTTCCCGGCCCCCAGAGCCTGGGTACTACCGCGACGGCGAATTTGGGATCCGCATTGAGGACGTCGCTCTCGTGGTGAATGCACAGACTAAGGTAGTGCAGTGGGGCTGGGCTGGCAGGGGTGGCACAGCGCCAGGGGGGCTGCACCAAGCCAGGGCTGGGGACACCAATGTCACCTGTGGCAGCACCAGAGCAGAGAAGAGCCCTTCCTGACCTTCGAGGTGGTGTCCCTGGTACCCTACGACCGCAACCTCATCAACCTCAGCCTCCTGTCACCAGAGCAGGTACAGGGTGCTCGAGGCAGGGAGGGACAGCAGGGGCATGGGGTATGGGGAGAGCAAAGAAGGGGTCTGGGGGGATGGATGTAGCAGGAAACCAGGACTGTGGCTTGAGGTTGGGGTAGGGATGGATGCTTGGATGGAGAGGGGCAACAGGGTCTGCAGACAGGACCAGTGACCGGAGTGTGGGATAGCAGGATGGGGAGGGCCAACAGGGGCCAAGGGGTGTGTGTGTGGTGGGGGGGGGGACAGGCCACCAGGGCAGCCCCCCTGCAGCCCCCCGCGGTGCCTGGCTGCAGATCCGGTACCTGAACACCTACTACGAGACCATCCGGGCGCGTGTGGGGCCAGAGCTGCAGCGACAGCGGCTGGAGGAGGAGTACCTCTGGCTGCAGAGGAATACTGAGCCCTTCCCGCTGGGCAGTGCCGCCACCACCACCACCGCCACCACCATCCTGGGCACCCTCATCTCCCTCCTCGCCGTGCTGCTCACCGGGCTGCAGGCCTGACCCTGTGCCAGCCGGGCCTGTGCCAGCCCCCTCCCTGCTGCAGCCGTTTCTTCTCCCCGCCACTCACTTCCCTATTTTTTTGTTTCCTATTTGCTCGGTTGTGATTAAACATGAGCAAGGCTGGCGGGTGCCTGTGTGCTGCTGTGCCCTGCTGCGGCAGCCCAGTGTGCTGCCAGCCTGCCCCCCACCTTGCTGGCTGGTTTGGGACTGGGGTCTGGCCCTACGTGGCCGCTGGCCCCACACATGTCATCCAACCCATGCCATCTGCCCTGCCCTTGGGCAGCCAAATCAGCATGAGCAGCAAGGAGGCAGGGTGGGTTTTAATTCTTGGAAACAGAGATGGGGGGACCAAAGCAAGAGGATGGAGGGGAGCCAGCCCATCCAGGTCCATCCCTGCTGCCCTACGGGTGCCAATGGCCGGGTGCTGATGTGCATGTCCCAGACAGGCTTGATGCCCAGCCAGGAGGACCTGTGGATGCAGGGGACACCCCAGAACAAGTCATACAGAGGGCTTGGCCATCGTGCTGGCCAGGAGAACAAGTGGGCACAGCAGAGGGGTTGGGGATCTTTGTCCTTTGCATGGTGAGGGGACATGGTGCCCACCAGCAGCATTGCTGAGGGGCAGCAGCATCACTGAGGGCTGGCAGGGTGCAGGCAGACATCCTCGCCCCGGGGGCCTTGGGCAGGGCAGCAGCTTCGTGGAGGGTTTCCTTCCTCCTGCCCCAGCCTGTGCACCCGCCAGCCACCCTGAACCGCGCCGCTGCAAGCACCTCTCATGTGACCGCCGGCTTCCTGTGCGCTTCCCGGCCTCGGTGCCGGTGCTTCGGTGCGTACCGTGCCAGGCGCTGCCCAAACGCTGCACCCTTGCCACCGGGCCCCAGCATCATGCTGCGCCGCAAGCCCTCCAACGCCAGTGAGAAGGAGTCCGGACACAAGAAGGTGAGCGCCATTGGCACCCATGTGTGTCCCTGCACACCCAGCACCGGCCAAGCCTGGGTGGCCCACAGGATGCTGAGTGGGGGGGGCACTGGTGTCGAGGGGCTGGGGCAGCTGTGGGGCACAGCCCCATGGGGCTTGGGGGCAGCACTGCCCACAGTCAGTCCCTGCCACCACGGCCGCGCTGGCCCATGGTCCTGGCCTCATCCCACACCGTGCTCCCACCCTGTCTTGCAGCCCAGTGGGACGGGTGGCCGGGATGCACAGACCCCAGGGTTCATCCAGGGTGCCAGTGGGACCCGTGGGGCTCTGCTGGGGTGGGGGGCAGCGGCGCCCCTTCCCCACGGGCTCCCCACAGCGTGGGCAGCCGCCTGCCGCTTCCTGTCGGAGCAGGGGTAGGGCCGCGGCGCGGGGTGCGCAGCTCCCAGCACGGCCCACACAGCAAGGTGTTTGCGGTTGTGGCAGCGCCAGGCTGCAGCTCCATCACTGTGTTGGCTGCTTCCTCCGGTAGCACCGCACCGAGTGCTGGGAGCCACCAGCAGCACCGGCTACTGGCACTGCGGCCTTTTGAGAGCCCCTGGTGCAGCAGGGCCATGTGCCACCCCGTGCCACCCCTCCCAGAGGGTCTCAGCAGGTACTTCAGCTCTTGCCAGGACCTGGTGAGCTGTCTTCAGCAACAGCGAGTCACCGAGAGCAGGGGGACAGTGCCTAGTGTCCTCGTCCTGCCCACGGCAGGCTGCCATCCCGGCAGAGCCACACGCCATGGCGGCTCCTCCGTACTGGGAAGCTCCCTGGGGAAATCTGGGTGAATCCACCCGCTCTCCGTGCAGGGGGTGGCCCAGGGAGCCCAGTGGGCATCCCCTGCCCTTGCCCAGCTGCAGCCGCCGCTCTCACTTCCCTCTTGCTGCCATCCTCCCCGGGGGGGCCTGGCTGCCCCAGCACCACAGCCCCCGCTGCCAGGCTTGCCACAGCTGCTCTCGCACCCCCAGCGCCGGGATAAGGGCCGATGCTGAGCTTTTCTGGCCGCAGAGGGGCACAGGGCACAAAGTTGTCTCAGCCCAAGGGTGCAGGGGGAGACACAAGGGATTCAAGCTGCCCGTGTCTGGTTGGTTCAGGGGTGCTGGAGTGGGAGTGAGGCAAATCGCCAGCATCGCCTCCACACACATGCACCAGCTGAGCTGCTCCTGCTTAGTAAAGCCACAGCGGGGATGGAGGTGGGTCTCCCTCATCCAAGCCAGCCCTTTATAAGAAAATAGCAAAAACAAGTAATAAAGGATGCTCGGTCGAGTCGATAAAAATGAGAAGGAGGGGGGGAAGGCACGGGGCTGTGCCTGAGCAGGGCCAGGCTGTGCAGGGGCTGAGAAGGGCCTCAGCTGCCTCCAGCACAAACAGGAGCCTGGGGCAGGCAGAGTGACTCGAGAAAGGAAACTGCTGCGTTTGCGGTCGAGGCAGGACTGAGTGTTGTGGTGTGTGCTCCGAGCGCGCTGGCAGCTGGGAGCTGAGCTCGCCCAGCCCCAGCACATCTCCCACGGCAGGGCTGGTGCTGGACATCCAGGGATGAGGGAGATCTGGGACCACGAGGCCGTGCAGGGACCCCAGTTGGCTGGCACTGAGAGTGCTCCCAGTACGGAGAATCCCTTCCTATGTGGGACACAGAAAGAAGGGAAGGAGAGCCAGGGAAGCAGGCAGGGGGGCACAGGGAAGACTGGAAGTGGCAGTGATGGAGGGTTGCACTAGGACTAAGATCCAAAATCCACTTTGGTGGCTTTGGCACAAGGGCAGAACTGAGCTTGCTGGCAGGGGAGGTGCTCCCTGGGCTGTGGGATGACGTGCAGGCACAAAACGTGGGCAACATCTGGGCCTGGAGCTGAACATGAAGGCAGCGACATAGGCACAGCAGCACTCGTACTCTCAGCCACTGAAAACAGCCTTTAGCTGTCAGACATGCAGGGAAGGGAGGGACCAACCCATGGCACGGCCACCACAGGAGGAGGACAGCACAAGGTGGGTCCCACTCTGCTCTTGTTCCCAAAAATCCCTGGCTCAGGGGCTGACCTGGCACAGCATGCCCACGTTTGGGTGCTGAGAGGAGCAGCTGCCTTGCAGATCCCCGCCATGTTTTCCCGGCAAGTGCCCAGCCCACGTCCCACAACAGCAGCACAGCACCATCCTGCGCTGCTCACAGCTGACTGTCATCGCCCTGGGGCTGCTCTGGCTCGACAAGGGGCCCAGCAGCCAGTGGAGAGGGTGGGACCGGGGACAGGGGGGCATAGTGAGAACCCCTCACACCTTTCTGTCTCCCAGCTCTCCCTCCAGCGTTCCAGCAGCTTCAAGGACTTTGCCAAGTCCAAAGTCAGCTCCCCTGCGCCAAGCGAGAAGGAATTCAACCTGGAGGAGAACGTGAGTGCCCAGCCCTCCCCCCCTCCTCAGGGGTGGCAGAACCTGCTGCCATGTCCAACTCCCCTAGAACCACCTTTCTACAGGGCAGAGCCATTTTCAGAGCCTGTTGCCCCAAGCTCCTGGTCCTACTGGTGATGCGCTTGCCGTGGGGCAGCCCCAGGGGCTCCAGCACTGGCAGAATTTGGGGTCTTACTCCTCAAGGAGTCTTGCAGCCCTGTGTGACACAGTTGAGATTTGC